AGTGCTGTTTAGGAACAGGGTGAAAAAAACAAAGTTTTCAAAATCGAGATATTTTGGAAAAATTAAAGAAAATTGTTAAGGTCCTAAGAAGTGTTTGTTTCCATTTGATTTTTTCACAGTCGAAGGGTTTATTGAAAGGCTTTATCTCCTGTAAAAATGATCAAAAGTGCTGTTTAGGAACAGGGTGAAAAAAAATAAAGTTTCCAAAATCGAGATATTTTTGAAAAACTTTATAAATTCGTTAAGGCCCCAAGGGGTGTTTGTCCCCATTTGATTTTTGCACAGTCGAAGGCTTTATTGAAGGGCTTTATCTCCTGCAAAAATGATCAAAAGTGCTGTTTAGAAACAGGGTGAAAAAAATCTAAATTTGCATAACGTGAATGATTTGAGAATAAAAAATGCAAAAATCAAATACAGTTAAGTTTTAATTTGTATTGGAATTAAAGTCGCGGTCAATTCATAGTGGCTACTTCCCTGTGTAAATTCATAAAAATTAAGTTGTGTAAATCCGACTTTAAACATCCAATACATCCAATTGTTTTTTTAGTGACAGATCTATCAAAAATGACAATTCTGCGGTTAGAATACTTCACATCTATAAGATCTATTGACACAATTGTGACACAATTTAGTTACTTCAGCTACCAACATAGACACAACTGAGACACTAGAGGTGGCGAGCTGGGGTATGATAATTTTCCTGGTGTGAACTTGGCTGTACCAATTGAGAATGGTGGGGATAAGGTGCTCTATGTGCGCAGCAATTGTCTGGTCGACTGTAATTTTCATGGTGCTCGACATACGTTGGCGGTGAAAAAAATTACGCAAACTTCACAACGGTAGATATTAAGCATAATGATTGAAAATATTCAAAAATCAAATGGCTGATACGTTTTTTGGTTTTGATACGTCGATAAATGTGAGTATTTTAGCAATTTCTGGGGGTTGGGGTCACCAAGGGGGCCAAAAGCCGCAATGAGGCCAAGTGACATTTTTGACTTTTTTTTGCTGTTTTTTGCCTTTTCACCTCGATTGTGACACTAATCCGGGCCCGGGACCGGTCTTTGTGACCCTAGGGGTGCATATTACCTCTCAGGTGTGAAAAAAATGCTAAAAAAATTGTTTTGAAAGTTTGAGGTTATGTTTCGGTTTTTGCGCAATTACCCCAAAATTGTGTTTTTTCCCCAGAACGGAGATCATTTGTTGCCGCCGGATGACGACGACTGTGTTGAGAACGAAGAGGAGGAGTATGACGCCCTTAACGATGAGACCTTCGGGGGCTTGGAAGACAGTTCAGTCTTGGACGACTGGGAGCAACAACACGAGCAATACGCAGAAATTGCGGAGAGCACCAAGCACTCCGAACAACTGGAAAACTCAATTTCGCGATTGATGCTTGACGACCACCCCAGTGGCCCCCTAAACCTATCGAAAAATTCGGTCTGGTCGTACACTCCCCCTAACAAAAATGGCGACATTTTCAATTCTTCGATTTTGTCGTCCTTGCAGAAAGCATCGAAGTCTTTTGTAAGTCGCACACATTTATATCGCAAATCTAATTGAGAAATTTCAGATCGAGACGCATTCACAAAGTCACAAAGACTACGCCCCTCTCCCGTCAATTCCCCTCTCACCCATCCACCAAGTCCCCAAACAAATACGTACAGTTGAAGAATTAGAGAAAAATCTAATTAAAAGTTCAAAACAGCAGCCTCTCATCAAGCCTCAAGTTCCCTTCCCGCACCCTCTATTCCGGCTACCCCCGGGACTGCCCCCGATTGGCATCCCGCCCCCTGTGCGACACATGCTACCCCACCATCATGTACCCCCCGGTTTGGTTCACATGATCCCGCCGCATTTTATGCAAGGAGGGCCGCCGAGACACCTCATTTACCCCCAAGGCAATGCACAATTTTCGGTGAACCACCCGTATAATTTTCCGCCACCCCCCAGAAACGTAATTCCACCAAATATGAGGATGCAAAGGACGCGAAATGACAGTTATAAAAGTCGGGAAAATACCGAAAATAAGGACGAGTATGCCGGTTTGATGACAAGTAGGGAAAAACAATGGCTTTTAAATATCCAAATGTTGCAATTAAACACCGGAACGCCGTATTTCGACGACTATTATTACACTGTTTTTAAAGAACGTAAAGCAAAGAATAATAAAGAGAATTTCCCGAATCGATTTCAGAATAATCGACAAAGAAATAACGATAGACAAGAAAACAATACGTTGACACCTCGGGTTTATACGCCGTTGCAATTCGAAAATTCGTTAGGGAAATTACAAGTAATTAATTACTCTATTAATTTTTATAATTAATTGGTTATTTTAGTGTGGTTCGGTCACTGCCCCCCGAAAGATCATAGATATGGACATAGTAACCCCCGAGAAAGACTCCGACAGCCCTGTCGTCGTCCGCGACACACGCAAAACCAAGCAACTCCTCCTCGAACTCGAAGCTCTCTTCACGCTCCTCCTCAAAGCCGAAGACTTACGTAATCCGCTTGCAATCAGCAATATGGAAAAGCTTCACGAAATCAAACAAAAACAACGTCTACGTGAGCTCGATTTAGCCCCAACTCCTGAGCAAAAACAAGAAGTTTTGAAGCTTTTGAAGCAAGACAGCGTGCCGGTGGTGGAAAATCCGCACGATTATATCGTGAAAATCGTCAACGGTTTGCTGCAAGAGGAGAAGTTTGCTAGTTTTTTGAATATCAGAAAGGGGAAAATGTTGCTGTTGAGGTTGTTGCCACATTTGACAATGGATGGATTTTCGGCGCAGTTGTTGGAGATTTGGACGAGGATTTTGTTGAGTATTCCGATTGTTGGAAGGAGGGATACAGCAGGTGATCATATTTTGCCCAAGTTGCATCCGTTTTTTAAGAGGTATATACAGACGAGTACGATGAGTGATATTTTGGAAATTGTTACGGGATTGGTGGAAGTGATCAGACAGGAGAATAGTAGAAGTACGCCGTTGAGTCATCAAGGAAAAGCGCCACTGTATTTCGTCCTGTTGAACAAAGTAAGTGCGGACCGCAGACTAAACAAAAAGTCTTTTTTTTTGTACGAGTGATTTTTTACGTTTTTTGTCAAGTGGGACCGCAGACTAAACATCTAGTCGTCAAAACAAGCTACTACATTAACAAAATTACAAAAATATGACTTAAAGATAAGATGGTAATAATAACAACAGATAATTACTGAAAGTAGAGAATATTAGTGAGAAGTCAAGCGAAAATCAATTAAACTATGAGAACGAGGACCGCAGACTAAACTAAACATT